AAAAAAAAAAAAAAGTATCCACTTTACTTCACCCCAATACAATTTCTTGACTTTTAAAAGGGAGATTTATACAGAACATGTCATTAAAAAAATGTTTTTAATAAAAATGTTTAAAAGATTAAAAGCCTTTTCACCCTTATTAATAACGTACTCCTAATGCCACCATTTCCCTACCAATATTACTTCCTACCTCCCCACTGCTCTGCCATCCCTCTGCTCCTACACAGATGTACAAACCATCCCCACTTCCACCTCTCCCACACACAGCTTCTGCCTTCAGGCCCAAGTTGAGAAAATGAATCCCTGAGTTAGAGATTCAACAAGGGCTCCAAACTCGAAACCTGTCTTTCTTCAAAGAACTAGGCATCACAGGTTTTCAGCTTACTCTAATCATCTGGGCATCTGTTTTGTATCCTCTCCATGGCAAATGCCTCTCATTGCAGAGCATGTCCAAATACTGCTTGATTCCTACGTTCTGTTTTCTCGAAGCTTTCCTGGCATTCAATAATCAGTTTCTAACAATAAGGAGTGTTTATTTAAGGGTACAATCTTACTTGATTAGCTATGGTGTATGTTTTCGGGAGAGTCATCTGAATGTTGTTATATCCATAAGCAATAGCTGCATCTTCTACAATATCACATGCATGGATAATGTCAGCTCTGGTTGGAGGGATTTCAATCTCAATCTGATTCCCATCACCTATGACTTCTGATTTTAAATACATCCTGGTCAGAAGTTTGGCAAGATTTTCTGGAGTTTCTCTGAAAAATGAATGAACAAACCATAAACTTCATTGGATTTTTTTTTAATGTTTACGTTTTGTTTTAAAATATGCTACTAGCTGAAATAGTAATCTTTCTTTGTGAGTTCTATCAGAAACCAGACATCTTAACTTCTGTTCTATCATTCCTTAACCAATTCTGAAGGATTGCAAAAAAAATTAGTCATATGTGTACTTTGTTCTTGAATTACCTCCAAAAGTAAATACGTAAATGAAGTTTTCAGAGCATACCTGATTCCCACTTTTTTGTTAATGAGGTCAGCTCTCACTATCTCCTTTCGGTAAGCTAGTTCCTTAAAGAGAAAGAGTTTAAAAAGTAAATCATTTCCCATCAGATACAGCTTTAGATTCTTTTCCATTAAATTAGTCATTACTGCAGTTCTATTACGTTCCAAAGAAACTGTCATTAGAACCACATATTGAAAATAAACTTGATGTTGCAAAAACAGTATTGTGAGGAATACATTTGCTACATTAGATCCATATATGAACATTCTAATTGCTAGACAATTTACTGCCTGGAAATATATAAAATGCCAAACATTTTTCCCTTTTAGATAGTCAATCTCCATTCCCCATAGTAAAACACTGCTGTGTTACATCATTCCAAAGATGTTTATAAATCCAGTGGAAGATTTTCAGTCTCATCCCATGCAAGCAGATGGATATGAGCAAGAAAGAATAATTCCAGTGTCACAATGTACTATCCATCATACTAAGTCTAAGAGCGTGATGAAGATACTCTTTTCTTACCATTTCCAGGTAGGGAAATACAATGATGCCCCAAGTCCTGGCTACCAACCTGCTCCAGAAGACAGCAGAGGTAGGAGCATCTAATGAATTTGGTACTCAGTCTCCTTCAAATACATAACTCTACCGTATTAGTGAGGGAAAATCCACACGCATAAAACCCAGGCTTTTCAATACCTTTGGAAATGTCCTTATGTCTTATCACTGAATCACTCTCAAAAGTATAAATGCCACTAGCAAAAAGGAAATTTAAAAACCTGTTTTGATTCAATTAAGGGCAATGATCCAGAGCCTTGCTACTCAAAATGCAGTCCTCAGAACAGAAGCACCAGCATCACCTGAGTGCTCGTGAGAAAGGCAGACTGCAGGTCTTATTTAATAGCTAGTGGCAGTGACACCAGAGCTATTGAAGCCCACCCAATCTGCATGTTTTCAAGATCTGTAGGGTTTGGAGGCACATGATGAAGATTGCCAAGTAATAAGTAAGTTTTCTGAACAGTTACTGCAAGCTAAATAGTTATTATGAGCTGAATAGTACAAGATTCATTTTTAAGATAATCTTACTTAATTTTCACAACAGATGCTATTAGTATTCTCATTTGACAGATAAGAAATTTGAATTTAGCTGAATAACTAGTTCCAGGTCACAACAATAGTAAGTGCCGAGTTCAAGTGGTGCTATATGCCCAATGCTTAGAAAATGATTATCAGATAATAAGCACTTGGCATATATATTTAATGAGTGAATGCATTCATGGAAGAAGTAACAAGGATTACAGGTGGTGGCTCATGCCTGTAATCCCAACACTTTGGGAGACAGAGACATGTGGATCACCTGAGGTCAGGAGTTTGAGACCAGCCTGGCCAATATAGCGAAACTCCATCTCTACTAAAAATACAAAAATTAGCTGGCTGTCGTGGCAAAACACTCACGTAGTACTCCTTCTCAAAGCCCACCATTTCAAACTTACAAAAGAGCTCTATATTACGAAGAAATGATTTTAAGGGATTATCCACATGAGGAGAAGAATGACCCAAATATTAAAATATATTTATCCTTTTATTTCCAATAATATATAATCACTTTTAGTAACACTTGGCAAGTCTTCATGTTAAAAAGAAAAAGAGGCCACGCATGGTGGCTCATGCCTGTAATCTCAGTACTTTGGGAGGTCGAGGCAGGCAGACCACAAGGTCAAGAGATCGAGACCATCCTGGCCAACATGGTGAAATCCCATCTCTACTAAAAATACAAAAAATTAGCTGGGCATGGTGGCACATGCCTGTAGTCCCAGCTATTCAGCAGGCTGAGGCAGAAGAATCACTTGAACCCGGTAGGTGTCGGTGGCAGTGGGCCGAGATTGCACCACTACACTCTAGCCTGGTGACAGAGCAAGACTCCGTCTCAAAAAAAAAAAAAAGAAAAAGAAAAAGAAATTTTTCTTAGACATTATTTTAAAACCATTTAAAAAGCTATTTCCAGCTAATCCTAATTGCTACCACCATTAACTGCAAAAATGGCCACAAATTTCTCCCCTCTCTGTATCCATGGCCTTGCAATGTGATACCGCCAATCTCCCAATCAGGAGATGGCATCTATTCTCCACCCCTCAAATCTAGCCAAATGACTGGCTTTGGCCAACAGAATAATGTTTGAAAAAGACCTGGGCACCGACCATGCTTGGAACCTCTTGCTGCTAGGAACCCTGCAACCAACCCACGTAAAAAAAGTCCAAGCTAGTCTGCTGGATGATGAGGGGTACGTCACTTGTTGACGCCACTGCCAGGAAGCAAAGGAGAATGAGGCCATCCCAGATCATCCAGTTGCTAGCCAACCAGTCAACTGACTACATATGGGTAAGCCCAGCAGAGATTAGCCAGATTTGCTCAGATCAGGAAAACCACTCTATTGACCAAGAGAATCATGGGATAAATGGTTGTTGTTTTAAGCCATTAAGTCTTGGGGGTAGTTTGTTAAATAACAAAAGCTAACTGATAACAGCTACTTAAATCCAGATCAACTTTTAAAAACTGATATTGCCCATATAATTTCAGTTATGCTTCATACAGTTACATGTTTCTTTTGAAGTATAATTAACGCTCTAGAATAAAATATGATGCTAAACGCGAATGTTTTCTGGAATAGGGAGGTTTTGATCTTAGCAGGTTTCATCTACTGTAAAAGCTATCTAAATAGTAGAAACTATCTCAGGTTGTGATAGACTTCATAAATAACAAGGGAATAGTGAAAGATTCAAAGGAGAAGAAAAAGCTCATCAAAGAATGGTCTCACTGAATGAGAACCACGAAGTGACTGTAATACTGTTATGTCTTAACACAGTCATCTTGGAGGGACAAAGCCCCCCAAGAAGGGGTTTAAATTTTTTACCAAGATCTTATGTCTTCACAATAACTGTGTGCTTACTACTAAATTAGTCTTATTAATACATTTGAAATTATTTATTAGCTACAGTGATGGCCTTCAGCAACTGTTAATTCAAGTGTGAACAGACTAATTACATTTGGAGGGCTGAGTAATCTTAAAAGGAGTGAGACAATAAATTATCCAGTTAATAAATTATATTGTTCTACAGCACTCTAGGGTGCTATAATATAATTAACAACAGTTTATTGTATATTTTCAAATGTAGAGGAGCAGACTATGAATGTTCCCAACACAAAAAAATAATAAATGTCTGAGATGATGGATATGCCAACCACCGTGGTTTGATCGTTACATATTTTATACATGTACTGAAATATCACACTGTACCCCACAAATATGTAAAATTTTTATGTGCCAATTAAAGAATAAAAACATTAAGAAAAAACTATTCAGTTAACTAGTTAATAAGATAATAAATCATAGGAATTATAATCACACAATGTTGTTGTATAATGTTGTGTGTTGACAGCTGGCGTACAACTGTCTGAATTTAGATTCTAGCTCTACTACTTTAAAATAATAAACAAGGTAGCCAGACTCAGTGGCCACCCAGCATTTTTTCGGGAGGCCAAGGCAGGCGGATCACCTGAAGTTGGGAATTCAAGACCAGTCTGACCAACATGGAGGAAACCCCGTCTCTACCAAAAATACAAAATTAGCCAGGTGTTGTTCCAGGCTCCTGTAATCCTGGCTACTTGGGAGGCTAAGGCAGGAGAATCACCCAAACCCAGGAGGCAGAGGTTGTGGTGAGCCGAGATCACACTATTGCACTCCAGCCTGGGCAACAAGAGTGAGACTCTGTCTCAAAAAAGGAAAAAAAAAGCAAGGTATTTGACATCTCAAGGTCTCAGGGTCTCCATCTGGAAAAAGCATAATAACAGCACCTACCCTCACAGGATTATCGTAAGGCTTAAATCCACGTAATGCACATAGTATAGTGCCTGGCACACAGGTGGGTAGGCAGGGGATGGGTAGACAGACAGAACATGAGTGCTCTATAGACATTATCATTAGTATTGTCATAATTATGAAGTTTCTTAAGCACTTACTGGAAAGGTATAGGATTTTCCATTAGGAAAAACCACCTCAGCAGCTTCGACCCTGAAAACAAAAGCCAGAAATAAAAAAACTTAAGAAAAAAATGTACCGTGATTATCAAATCTTTCATTTGGGCTACAACTACAGCCTCACCATATTCCATCTATCCCATTCCAACACCGTTTGGATTGATGTTGCTATATACAGTATTACTCTATCATTTCATCTCCTAGGCTTCCTATGTCCTTTTCAGGCACTACCTACTTGAAAGGTTTATTTTCCAGTACTGCAAAGCATGCATCCTATAGGGGCTCCTTGCCACTATTGATACCCACATTCTAGGCTTTACCAGGGCAGTGTATTATATGATAAAACTGACAGAGCCACTGAAATGAAAATCAATTGAAAAAAAACCTGATGCTGCCCATATAATTTCAATCATGCTTTCTACAGTTATATATTTATTTTCAATTATATTAATATTCTAGAATAAACTGTGATGCTAGTACTAAGGATCATATAGATTTGTTAAATAATTTTCTAAATTAAAAATACGCTTTGGAAAAAATACAGTAGCCTTACCGATACAGGATGCATGCTTTGCTCTTGTATACGCTTCTCTACCTCTGCTTAGCTGTTCTTCTGCTGTTCCTCCATTTATTTATTCTCAAATCTAATGATCCCCAAACACAGCTTAAATTTCATTGCCTCCATGAAGCCTTCTCAGATTGTATTAGCTGGCAGTAACTTGCCCTTATAAACAGCCAGAATATCACCAAAACTTTTTAAAGTACTTAACACTTATGACTGTCCAATGGTTATACACATGCCTTATCTTTCTGAATAGATTATATGTTCTAGTTATAGGAAACACATTTTTAATCTTTATATTTATTTGTTTATTCATTCATTTTTTTTTAGACAGTGTCTCCTTCTGTGACCCTGTCTGGAGTGCAGCAGCACAAACATAGCTCACAGCAGCCTCAAACTCTCAGATTCAAGCAATCCTCCTGCCTCAGTCTCCTCAATAGTTGGAACTACAGGAGCAAGCCACCAAACCCAGGTTAAGTTTTAATTTTTTGTAGACATAATGTCTTCCTGTGTTGCCCAGGCTGGTCTTGAACTCCTGAGCTCAAGCAATCTTCCCACCTCAGCCTCCCAAAGTGCTAAGATTATAGGTGTGAGCACCATGCCTGGCCTATCTTTATATTTGGCACAAGGCCTTGCCTTCAGAACAGTGGGCCATCAACAAAGGTGCTGGATGAACTTACGTAAATTGTTTCTCACAATATTCACTGAACATGGTGACAATAATATCAAGAACTATTTTTGCCTGCAAAGAAAAGAAAAACAAATATTATGGTAATCTATAAATATCTTCTCTTCACTCAGATGGAAATGAATTAATATTTAATATAATTGCATCCCCGAACATCTAATGGACCTTTACATACACATTTTAGGAAAGGAAGTGGAATGAAAACATGAGTAGGCTTACCCTTCAGGTGTTCTGCATTTATGCAGTTCTCTGACAGTTATAATCCATGACTGAGACAAATCATTTTGTTCCCCCACCCCCAACCTCAGGTTCACTGGGCTTCAACAGAGACAAATGGCTAATTACTGGAATAAATCTTATCACTCTCCCAAGTCTCTGAAGCCAGACTCCTTGAATCCTGGCTCAAGCACTTACTAGCAGCATGACATTGGACAAGCTGCTTTTCTTATCTGTTAAGTGGAGATAATGAAAGTTCCTATCTCGTTTGGTTATTACGAAGATTAAATACATTGGCATGTAGTAAAGGCCATATAGATTTGTTAAATAATTTTTCTTTCAAAAAAAATTCTTAAAATAAAATACAGTAACCTTACTGGGATATATGCTTTACTCTTATATATATATTTCACTCCTATATATACAGGCTTCAGGAAAGACATTCAAGGTCTGTAAATGCATGAATTAAATTTTTTGAAAAAATTTAATATTAGGCCGGGCATGGTGGCTCACGCCTGTAATCCTAGCACTTTGGGAGGTCAAGATGGGTGGATCATGAGGTCAGGAGTTAGAGAGACCAGCTTGACCAACATAGTGAAACCCCGTCTCTACTAAAAATACAAAAATTAGCTGGGCGTAGTTTCTCGTGCCTGTAATCCCAGCTACTCGGGAGGCTGAGGCAGAAGAATTACCTGTACCTGGGGGTGGAGGTTACAGTGAGCCAAGATCGTGCCACTGCACTCCAGTCTGGGCGACAGAGTGAGACTTCGTCTCAAAAAAAAAAAAAAATTAATAGTAAAAGCTGTATTACCCTGGCAATATATCTGAAGGCAAGGAGTACATAAAAGTTATAAATGAAATACATTACAGTGGCCTCTAATCATATAAGATGTACATGAATACCATTTATTCGACCTGTTTCTATACTCCAGTCTTCTCCTGCCATTTGAGTTTACCTTTCTTAATTTGTTTAACTGCCACCTCATTTAACATATGTAAAGAAGACAAGTCACAGAAAAAGCTTTCATGGCAATCCAATTCAATAGATGAAGTGACTAAAAGTGAGTGAAGAATTATATTCTAGATAATTTTTGTGCATAAACCATTTATCAATCTACTAAATAAAGCTTCTTCATAGCAAGTTCATTTTTTTTAAGATTTTACCAAGTACACAAAGGTACCAAATTACTCAGCATTTAAACTAAGTCAACTAAATAAACAATTTATATAGATCTTGCTACCGTACTCATTCCATTTTGTGTTTTATAGTTACGTATATGACAAACTCTCCCCCTAAGAGTTCTTTGAAGTAACGAAACATGTAACTCATAATTAAATTCCTGGCACTGGAAAGACATTCGGTGCTCACTAAACATTTGTCAAATTAATGAATGCACCATAACCAAAGTGTAGAATATCTATTTTTTAAAATTTCTAAAATATGTTCCCATCTACAAAATGCATATATTTTACATTTTAGACATTTAGTCTTGGTCCAGAAATAAAATCTATCCCATCTGATCATACAAAAATTGAATAAAAGTTTTATTTACCTTCGTAAAGTCAGTTCCAGTGCATTCAATAAAAACATTTCTAGTATTTACTGTTATTCTGGAATGATCCCCTGCAATGAACACAAAACAATAACTACACAATAACTAGTTTCAGAAATAGAAGTGCACTAAGCTCAACAAAACAGAAACTACATTTTAAACGTGAAACACATTAAAAACTAACACCTTAAAAGCAAAGGGATAAACAACTTTTATTTAAGCCCCCACTGCAAGTTGAAGAACGAAAATAAAATAATTAACAGGCCTTTACTGAACGCATACAGTGTGTCAAGTGCTATGCCAAGCACTTAACATGGGTTGTCTCCTCTAATCTTTACCACAACACCATGATGTAATTGCTGGCAAGAAACAAAGTTCAGAGAGATTAAACTACTTGACCATGATCACAAGCAGCAAGGCTAGAATTTGGGTCCAGGTCTGGTTAACTCTGGGGCTCATGTTTTTAACCGCTGTAACTACTAGAGTCCAAGATCTCGAGAAGAGGTTTCTCCTTTTCATAGCAAATCAGCTAAGCCTCCTTCTTGCCTCCAGAAAGGCAAACATCTATGGCTCAAACATCATTACGTTTTGTAAATACATTCAAATTGCCTCATAAAAATCGCTGTCAGAAAGGAATTAAGAGGGCAAAATTTAAATTAAAAGTTTTAGTTTAACTATAAAACTATAGGCAAGGCCAGACATGGCAGCTCATATCTATAACCCCAGGGCTTTGGGGGGCCAAGGTGGGAGAATCACTTGAGCCCAGGAGTTTAAGGTTGCAGTGAGCCATGACTGCACCACTACACTCCAGCCTGGGTGACAAAGCAAGAACCTGTCTCAAAAAAACAAAAAAGAGAAAAGAAAGAAAAAAAAACGGCATACATGACAGAGTTTGACTCTGAGTTTAACCTAGCGAATACTTGCTAAAACCGAAACATCAACTGCCTTTGGAGGAATTTAAGAGAACTCAAAGCCTAGCATCAGAAAATATTTATAAATGTATGAACATATTATAAATTTATAAGAATCACCAGTAAAATGTTGAATAAATGAATGAAAAGAATGGTTGGAATCTACAAAAGACCTGAGATACTCAGATCATGGGTTATTTGAATTTCATTCAGCCAAGTCTATTGAGAATTCTACAGAAATGCTGAAGATTAAAAGGAAACAGCAAAGATCTGTGATGCTTATGAAATAACTCACCATTGATGATGGGAGGCATTGAAAGAACAACACCATTGCTATCATAGATAACTGGATACAGGGGTTTGTTTTCAATGATATGTAAATACTGTTTAAGGTGATTGTCGGTCTGAAAACAAATCAAATAAAATTAGTTTTTTAAATTTCTATCACTATAGTTTGCATACTGACCTAATATTAAAAAAGAAGGGGAAAAGTCAGAAAAACATTAAAACAGTCCCAAATTAAAGAAAGTTCTGAATTTAAAAGATTTTCTAATATAAATTAATATTCCAATATTCAATGAGCACAATTGAGTCATTTCTCAAGACTGAAAACAGATTTGCACTGGTACGCCTGAATCATTTCAAAGGAAACATAAAACATGACAAAACTATTTACATAAATAGGAAGAAGTTACTTGCAAATCAGGGCAAGGATGACAGCTGCTTTTTCTAAATGACACCTATTTTTTATATTTGTTAAATATAATCCAAAGTGACTACTGAATTCATTTTTGCTGCTGGACTTTTAAATAATGGGAAGCAGTATTTATAACAGTATTCCCCACAAAAACACTAGCTAAGTCTTACTGTTCTTTATACTTGCATGAGTTTCAATTATATCCAAATATGAAGATTACAATGTGGTATGATCTACTTCAGTGGTTCTCAATCTCAGCAGTACACTGAAATCACATCAGAAGTTAAAAATGTAACATTAAATAAAAGAAAACTGTGTTCAGGTCCCAATCAAGATCAGATGAATCACTATCTCTAGGTTGGAGCCCAAACAATGCTATTTTTTAAAAGTATTTACTACATTTCCCTAGCTGCAAGGCTTGACTCTGATGGAAAAACATATAGGCTACTGCATAATCAGAAAGAGTACTTACCTTGTATATGTTCATCAGTTCACAGGCTGTATACTCCTTGGTCTTATTTAGAGGCTTGAATTTGATATCCGAAGGACGCTTTGCAGTATAAGTAAATGGGCCTGACAGAGTGTCCAAATCATGGGTACCAATAGCAACCAATGCTCTTTTCCTAATTGTTGAGAGGGTGCGGGAGAAGAAAGGAGAAAAGGAAAGGAAGAGAATGATAAAGATGTGAATATTCTAAAGCAGAAATTCTAAAGACAACATAAACATAGACTACATATATTTTGTAAATTATTTCAGATACTTTCCTGAAACAGCAAATTGCTACTACATGGCATCGTTAGTGGCATATCATGAACAAATTCTCACAACCATTAAGAGTACTGAGAAATCACAAAACTACTTGAAATACATGATTTCAGAAGCTGAAGAAAATTCCTTGCCATTATGTTTTCCCAAATACTGTTTCTAAGATATCTTCAAAGTTAGCATTTCCTTTACTTCTTGTAACCCATTTCTTCTTGATATATTCAACTAAACATGCTTTAATAAATTAGAATAAACTACCAAATTGTTGTGGGGTTTTTTTTTTTTTTTTTGGCTTTCCTATGTTTTCTTAAATTTTATCATATAGCTGCGTTACTTTAGTCACGGAAAAAAATTAATTTTAAGAGCTCTGAATAACAGTTCGAGTTTAATGTATAAGGAAAGTTCAAAAGGTATTCATTTCACTTGTTCTACAGTTTACCCACAAAAGATTTAAGGTAATTGTAGGAAATTACAGCAAGCTACAAAATTGAAGAGAAAGAAATAGAAGTAGGGATGTAAAACCAAGCCAGGAAATGTTAATTCTGAATTAGGATCTAAGGGCCTAAGTCTTACTAGGGAGGGTCACAAGTTTAGCTCTAAGCTTTCTAACAGTCAATTCGAAAAGAGAAACTTCGTAAAAATTCTTTAGTGCACAAAATGTATGTGCACTAAAATTAGTTTAATATTACATTTTGGTCAACTTCCAAGACTGCAGGACTGGTGAACTAGAACTTTAATAAATAGGGTTGAAGAGAATTGCTAACAGGCAAAAAGGAAGTGTTACTTTACTCAATTAGTCATATGCTTACAGAAGATAATAAACCCACAACTATCATAGAATAAAATATACATGGTTCAATAAACCTAGGTAAATTGATAATTGACAAATGCACAGGTAAGAAAGTCCATTTCCTTAGATATTAATATTGGTCCCTTAATCTTAAAACAGTACCTCAAAACATCACCAAAATTTCAACTTCAAATCAGCAACAAAAAAAATTAATTGCAAGCCAGGCACCCTCACACCTGTAATCTCAGCACTTTGGGAGGCTGAAGCAGGAGGATCATGAGGTCAGGAGTTCAAGACCAGCCTGGCCAAGATGGTGAAACACTGTCTCTACTAAAAGTGCAAAAATTAGCCAGGCGTGGTGGTGGGTGCCTGTAATCCCAGCTACCTGGGAGGCTGAGGCAGAGAGTTGCTTGAACCTGGGAAGTGGGGGTTGCAGTGAGCCGAGATGGTGCCACTGCACTCTAGCCTGTGCAACAGAACAAGACTCTGTCTCAAAAAAAAAAAACACACACACACACACACACAAAAACTTAATTCCAGATGAATCAAAGACTTAGCACTTTGAAAAGCAAAAGACAAACATACAGGCACACATACAAAAGACACCATAAAAATTATTCAAAGAAAATAGAGGCCAAGTGAGGTGGCTTACCCCTGTAATCTCAACACTTTGGGAGGCCAAGGCAGGAAGACTGCTTGAGCCCAAGAGATTAAGACCAGCCTGGGCAACATGGTGAGACCACATTTTCACAAAAAATTTAAAAATTAGCTGAGTGTGGTGGTATATACACCTGTGGTCTCAGTTACTTGGGAGGCTGAGGCAGGAAGATCACTTGGGCCAGGGAGGTCAAGGCTATAGTGAGCTATGATTGCACCACTGTAGGCCATCCAGTCTGGGCAACAGAGAGAGACCCTGTCTCAAAAAAATAAAATAAGAAAATATAGAAGAATATGCTTAAAATTGTAGAATAGGACACCACTTCTTAAGTAGGTCATAAAACCTAAAAGTCATACAGAAAGACTGATAACTATACCCAACTTACAGATCCAGAAGACACCCAACTCAAAAAGCACAGAAAAGGTTTACAACATATACAGGAAAAAGATTAACATTCCAAATACAGTAAGGTATGAAAAAACAAAAATATTCCGAAATCAAGATTTTATTTAACATAATGGTAAAGATTTCAAAGTCCTGCTATAAAAGAGCAGCAACTGAAAGGTAACAGAGCTAAGCAGAAAACTGAACCGCTGCTGAGTCTGAGTCTAGCTAAGTATTCAAGTCTTTGCCTCAAAGAACAAAAACCACTCTTCAGAGAAACATAGCAAAGTCAAGACTCTTTCCTAACATAATATTCTATAGTCATCAAAAGGCAATGGACATGAGAAGTAATATGGAACACGTGAGAAGTTCTATAGAACACAGTCCATAGGAACCAATGCTAAAATGCTCCAGATTCTGATACTGCCACACAGATTTCAAAGCTGCTACCAAAAAATGTTCAAGAATTATGGAAAAACATACACACAATAAATAGATGAGGAAATATCTGCAGAAAAGAAGAAACTTTAAAAAAAAAAAAAAGCAGTGGATTGCGAGAAGGTAAAATAACTGAAGTAAAAGACTCGCTAGGCACTTCAAGCCAACAGAGTAACAGGCTAGATTTACTCTTGCCTGAAACAACTAAAGAGCAAAATATACGGAACAATAGTTTTCATGGCACCTAACAGTAGGCAATGTAGGGCAGCAATCCCTGAGACACAGGAAACAAGTGAGGCGAGCCCTGACTATAGGGCAGGAAAGGGGGCCCAGCGGAGCCCAGGAGACTTGCTGAGAGCAAGAGACACAGCTGAGAGTTTGGGGAGGTCAAGGCGGGCAGAGTCCCGGAGAAAAACAGAGAGGTACACAGAGAGAGAACTCTGGAGATATGCAGAGGGGCCCACTTAAGTACTGGTGAGATGAGTACTGATCAGAACATGCAGCTGAGAAAACTACCCAGGCCAGGAAAGAATTATCCAAGAGAATTAGAGGAAACAGTGCTCCATGCTCACAGACTAAAACTTCATTGCTCAAGTAGCAGTGGATACAGTAGGTAAAAGGGTCTTGCCTCAGCAGTAGGGGCTAATTAGCCAAAGAAAGAGCTTCAATAAAAATAAAGGAAAAAATAAGAGAAGGATCAATGAAACCAAAAGTTCATTCTTTGAAAGATCAATACAAATAGCCAAGCATGGTGGTTTAGGCCTATAACCCCAGCACTTTGGGAGGCTGAGACAGGAGGATCACTTAAAGCCAGGAGTTCAAGGTCAGCCTGGACAATCAAGCAAGACCCCTGTCTCTACAAAAAATTTAAAAATTAGCCAGGTGTAGTGGCTCATGCTTGTAGTTCCAGCTACTTAGGAGGCTGAGGCGGGAGGATCCCTTGAGCACAGGAGTTTTTTTTTTTTTTTTTTTTTTTTTTAATGGGGGGTTTTTTTTTTTTTTTTTTTTTTTTGAGACGGAGTTTCGCTCTTGTTACCCAGGCTGGAGTGCAATGGCGCGATCTCGGCTCACCGCAACCTCCGCCTCCTGGGTTCAGGCAATTCTCCTGCCTCAGCCTCCTGAGTAGCTGGGATTACAGGCACACGCCACCATGCCCAGCTAATTTTTTTGTAGTTTTAGTAGAGATGGGGTTTCACCATGTTGACCAGGGTGGTCTCGATCTCTTGACCCCGTGATCCACCGGCCTCAGCCTCCCAAAGTGCTGGGATTACAGGCTTGAGCCACTGCGCCCGGCGAGCACAGGAGTTTTGAGGTTACAATGAGATGATCATGCCACTGGACTCCAGCCTGGGCAACACAGCAAAATCCTTCCTCAAAACAAACAAACAAAAAGATCAATAAAGCTGATAAACCTCTAGCCACACTGCTCAAAGGAAAAAAAGAGAGAAGACAGAGGAATGAGAGAGGTGACATCACTACAGATACCACAGATATTAAAAGAATAACAAGGAAACATTATGAACAACTTTATCTCAATAAATTTAATAACTTAGACCATATGGATATATTCATTGAAACACGTAAACTTCCAAAGCTTATTAAAGAGGTTAATTAGGATTTACTCACAGAAAAGAACTCTGGCATACCAAAGTATTAGGATGGGTTCAATTCTTCCCCTTAGAAAAAGCTCATGATTTCCAGAAATACCAAATAAAACAGAGCTTAAAGTTAAGTAAGAAAATGTTTGTTTAGATTAAAAGAGCTCCTTAAAATAAATAGTTAATAGAGCCAGAGTAGATAATCTAGCTCAACTACTTAAGTTATACCTATACTTGTTGGAAATCTTGTATATTGCTCTAATTTTGAAATTATACTTAAATTGTTATTGCTTTGCTTAATAATGACATATTAGCAAGCTGACATATAAACTCTTTTTATATAAAAGAACTGGGAATAAACATTATTTGGAATCTGAAAAAAATGTTGCTTCTGCCATATGCACAAACATGTTTCAGGAAAAAAAAGCCTCATAAGCTTAAGCATATGTGCGATTTAAATTTTTCAGTGTTTTTCACTATAGCAGAAAATGTCTATGGTTCTCCTCTATCCTCTCTCTAGACCATTCCATACACATAAGCTCCTCCTATGTCTATTACCAAACTACGATTATTAACAAATAACTGTGGCAGCTCGCACACAAAAATAAATAAACAAAAAGTCTTTTTTCTATTTTTATTTGAGACATATATAACTATCAATCATACCTTTGGATCAACATGCAGTAACTTACATTGATCTATTTCAGGACCAACACAAATAAGCTTAATATGCTAGCTAAAGTCTGAGGTTTCTCATCAGTAAGTATACAGTTTCCATTAGGATTTTGAAATACTTAAATTAGTTCAAGGATTCCCATTGTTACCTTCACTGACCTTCAGGAGTTCAGGAATTATATAGGTTTGAAGATCATTGCCTTAAAGGGAGCTGTGCAGGAAATTATGCATAGTAATGTAAAGAACGAATAAGTAAAATTTAGTCACTTAAACTCAAGTTTTATCTGTCAATTTATAATTATTTTCACTCAAAAAGTGAGAATAAGCCAAAATTTTATTTCCATTTTAAAAACGATGTATCATACTTCATTCCCGTGGTTTTATACTTGGTAGTATAATTGACTGCTGATCTGAACCAAAAAAAAAACAACAAAAAGCAGGGAAGTCTCTAGGTCTAGATAATTCTTCTCCTATGCAGTATTCAAAACAGACCTCCTGTTTCTCCATGCATGTACCATTTACAAGCAGTAACAAGTATCTAGTAAAGCAAAGTTAAATTCTCATAATCTGTCAGATTCTATTAATTTAGAAATGCTTTGTAAAAATTCTGCAGAGGAAGAAAGGAAGGAGAGACAGAAAGAGGGCAGAAGTGGCAAGAGAGAAGAGGGAGAGGGGTCAGGATGGAAAGGAGATGGGGACAGGGAAAGGGGAAGGCAAGGAAGAAAGAAGATACAGCCACAAACCTGCAAATATTCTGATGTAATTTCTCCTGAAGTTCGATGAAGCTGTCATATCGATCTTTAGTAAACTTGATATTTTGGAGAACTGCTGCTACCGCAAAAGGACGTATCTTAGCTGTCTGAAATTCATAATATCATTAGAGGTAGCAAACAGTAAGGCTTTTCTTTGTAATATCTTATAATAAAAGGCATCTGCACTCTTGCCACTGGCATACATTTTCATTCAAACAAGTATACATTAATTATTCAATTGACAAGCAATAAAATGGTAAGCAAGAAACGATGTCACTGTCTTCACAGAATTTATATTTCAGTAAGATTTCTGAAAATGTATTAAATAATTGAGAAAAAGTTTGGTCTTAATTCATATTTTTACCAAAATATCCCCTCTGAAAAGTTTAAAATCTTTTAAAATTTCATTAATGTTCTACAATTTAAACAATTATATCTCAAATGTGTTTTAAATATGCATTTAATATTATTATTCAAAATTATTTGTGGAAAGCAGCGGCTTTGCTCGTTATCATTCCTAGGTTAAAAAATTTTTTTAAGAGCTAGGGGCTAAGTATATACTCATTTTAGCAAATGATCAAAGAATATCACATTTTTTAGAAGCGTAAGCTTTGGGCCAGGCACAGTGGCTCACACCTGTAATCCCGGCAGTGTAGGAGGCTGCAGGGGAACAATCGTTTGAGTTCAGGAATTTGAGACCAGCCTGGGCAACATGGTGAAACCCCATTTTTAAAAAATACAAAAAATTAGCCAGGTATGGTGGCGTGTGCCTGTCCTCCCAACTACTCAGGAGGCTGAGATGAAAGGATCACTTGAGCCTGGGAAGATGTTGCAGTGAGCCAAGATTGCACCACTGCACTACTGCCTGGGCAACAGAGCCAGACTCTGTCTACAAAAAAAAAANAAAAAAAAAAAAAAAAAAAAAAGTAAGCTTTATTTCTTTTTCCTCCCCACCTTATACAAACATGTATAAAAAAAACTGTTTTTAAGAAAAATAAGAATTTATCCTTATTACCTCTTCTGTGATAATCAATTTCTGGATTTTTCCATCAGGCATTACCCGTTTATACACCGGAGGCTTTATCCTAAAATAATATTAAAATAAATTTACTCATAATTAATCAAGACATTATATAATTAATTATATAAACATTACATACTATGCTATGTAGAGGAAGTATACAAAATGAATTAGGACAATGGGCTGAGTTACAGCAAGTCAAATTTTGGCTGAAAACGAGGAAAAAAAGAAAAAAACTAACAACATTTTTAACATCTAAAGTTGTCCAAAAAGACATAAGATGCCTCATAGTCATGTATTTCCTATCACTAGCATTCCAGCAGAGGCTACAAAACTGTTAACTGAGCAATTGTTTAAGAAGCATTTCAACATCAGCTGAGGGACTGGATTAACTTTTAAGTTAACATAGTTATTCTAACTATGAGATTCTGAGCTTCTAGGAAAAAAACAGAGCTTATGGAAAATACAGATTCCCTGGTTCCATCTGGACCTACTGAATCAAAAAAGTGAAGACAAAGGTTTGGTAAATGGTGCATTCTGAAGGCATCTCTAGGGAGCTCTTATCATAGTGAGAAATTGGAAATTACTGTTTTAAGGCAATGCTTCTCAAATTTCAATGTGCTTACAATCAACTGGGGAGTTTGTTAAACCACAGATTCTGACTTAATAGGTGGTGGGTGGCAACAAAGACTGCATTTCTAGTTAGTTCTCAGGTGATTCAGATGCTGCTGATCCATGGACTCACTTTAAGTGGAAAAGGTTTTATGCTGCTTTCCTAATTGGGTCTGACCATAAAAATCACAAGGTGACTGTTAAAAATACAGATTCTCATTGGGCAGGTTTGGGAAACGACCTCTTAGGAGTTATCCTTGATCCTAAAATAAAGCATCTGTTGTCCTGCAGGAAACCAACTGGGTCAACTCCACATTTTAACCATCTTTAACCTAATGTCTAATTACCATCATTTCACCAATAACCGTCACTCTCCTAAAGCCAATAGCCATCACTCACCTAAAGCCACACAATTTCAGAATCTAACCCATCAGTTAGAACTCATTCTTTTGCAGCTGACCAGGTAGCACAGAAGTAATCAAAAACAATTAATTTTGATAGCTGTTATTTTTTTTTTTTACTTTATATATTCATTACCCTCTATCTCTTTTTTTTTGAAGGTGGAATCTCCCTCTGTTGCCCAGGCTGGAGTGCAGTGACGGAAATCTCAACTCACTGCAACCTCCATTTCCCAGGTTCAAGCGATTCTCATGCCTCAGGCTCCTGATTAGCTCGGACTACAGGTACATGCCACTATGCCTGACTAACTTCTATTTTTAGTAGAGGCAGGGTTTCACCATGCTGGCCAGGCTGGTCTTGAACTCCTGACCTCAAATGACCAACCAGCCTCAGCCTCCCGAAGTGCTGGGATTACGGGCTTGAGCCACCACGTCCAGCCCCTCTATCTTTATTAAACGAGAAGCTGGAAGGGGCCTTATAAATCTGCTTCATTACAGATTAGGAAATTGAAACGAGAGAGCCCAACTAACTTGCTCGATATCACGGAGCTGTCATAAGATCTTTGGTTTTCCAGTTAGGGGCTTCACTCCTGAGCTTCCTCAGAACTCATAAATTAAGGGGATTGCTATCTCTCCTTTTCCTCTCAACCTTTTTAACACATCAAGTGAACTACGCATTCCAATTAGATCACTGATCTAATTTATTGAGAAATCACACAAACATGCTAAAGAATTTTTTAAGAAGCCGTAAAAGCATTAACCACCAGTTTTAAAATATGCTCCCAAAAAATGGATAGCTATGTCTCAAATTTTCACGGAAATTTTCAAATGGCTACAAGCTACATGAATCTTATCCTCAAGTCAACCCTCTATTGAGAGCTAAAGCTGTGTGCCTGTACAAGCTTTTTCCTAGAAATGTAAACGTGGCTGCTGATAATGACAAGGAAAAAAAGAAAATCCAACTTAGCAAAGTCTTTAAGGAACACATTTCCATACCTTTCTTTGAAGACCTGAAGTCCTCGAACCAATCCCTCCAGACACAGGAGATCATATCTATTGGCAGGGACGTCAATTTTGTAAAGAACAACATCAGAGGCTCCCGCTGCCTTTACACTACCTTGTTCTTTACTTATTATTTCCTTCTCGGACGTCTAAAACAAGCCAAAAAGTAATGATAAAATTAAATAAACTCTTTTTAAAAGTAAAAGTTGTCAGCCCTATAAAGCAGTAACTACATTATACGTATTTTCTGCAACAAGAACACGGGATTATTATATCCATGACAAAAACTACATGAAAATATTAAGTGTTATAATCATAGAAGTCAGAAAAATACTTCAACTTTAACTGAGTTCGGATACCTGGCATCCTCAGTCACCCCAGAACAGCACAAATCCATCTAAACAAGGGTCAGCAAGCAATGGCTCCCTGGCCAATTCATACCTGATACTTGTTTTTGTAAATAAAGATTTACTGGAACACAGACAGATCCATTCATTGCTACTTATAAACTGCAACAGCTGAGTTGTAACAGAGACTACAGAATCTACAAAGCCTAAAATATTTACTATCTGGCCTTTTACAGAAAAGCTTTTCCCATCTCAACCTAAAAGAAAATGAAAACACCACCAAGACCATAAAGTAACAACAACAAAAGTGTCAAAGGGGGAAAAGAAATATAATTCACTAAGTAAAAGAAACACAACTTCTTATATGATGACTCTAAAACCTAAATCCTGTGGGCACCCAAGAACACATGAGAATGTCAGGGGCAATATAAAAACAGAAGACATTCAGAGACAATCAGAAACTGGTGAAAATTAGAAGGGATAATAGGTACAATGGGAAGCAAACTAGTGATGGTAAAGGGATACTGCAGCAGAATGAAGGCAACCAAGAGGGAGGTGACAGAAGAACCACCACCAGAATCATGTTTAAGGCAGAGGCAGAGTCCAGAATATCTCAACCACTACACTATAGCAGAGTAACAGATTTTCCTAAACATAACCACTGCAGAAAAGTTACATTCTATCACTTACGTTTACTAAAGTAGGGAAATGTAAATATATTTCAGAAACTTTCATTCAAAATGCTTAAGAGCTGTATTCCAATTGTAAATGTTACCCTCTAATTATCTGGAAACTCCACTTAACCAGAATTCCTACTATTTCCACCAACAACAACCTGCTAAAAATGGATTTCTATCAAAATATGTAATGATTTTTGTTTTACATGATGCCCTCCCACTGCCATAAGGTAAGTAGGTCAAATTCTTGCCCAAATTAATAATTACATCCACATTTGCACAGTGTGCAGAGGAATTCACTTCTGGCCACTGAGTATTATGTGTCAAGGTCCCACCCGAGGAACCACAGGACTCTATGCAATGCTGAGCTGTGCACGGTGCTGCTGGGCTCCAGAAAACATCTACCTTGGGCATCTCAAACTCAGGAGACAAATTTTTAAAATTAGGGAAAATGGAAAAGAAGAGAATGAAGAGGAGGAGAAGGAGAAAGAGGGAGAAAAGAGAAGGGGATGGAGAAAGGCAAAAAAAGAGGAGGAAGAATTTGAGTTTAAACAACGTTCAATCAATGGGGTCAATAAAATTACTGTTTTTAGTGAAGAAAGCTGAGTCACCTCACGGGAGATGGCAGATCTCAGGAGGGACCTAAACACAGGGAAGATAATATAATAACCAGAGCAAAAAAGGCATCTGCATTCATTTTTCAGCAGTATCCCCTTATTCAGAGGAGACATGTATCAAGCTCCCCAGCGGATGCCTGAAACCTGGCATAGGTTAAACCTTAAGTATGGACTAAACCTTAAATATGCCTTGTTTCTTCCTATACATACATACCTGTGAAAAAGTTTCATTTACAAATTAGGCACAGTGAGAGATTTGTTAATAATAAAATAGAACAATTATAATAATATACTATAATAAGAGTTATATGAATGTAGTCTCTGTCTCAGAATTTCTTATTGTGCTATATTCACCTATTTTCAAACCACAGTTTGCTGCAGGTAACTAAAACTGTGGAAACAAAAATACTGTGGATAAGGAGGAACTACTGTAAAAAAAAAAAAAAAAAAAAAAAAAAAAAAAAAAAAAAAAAAAAAAAAAAAAAAAAAAAAAAAAAAAAAAAAAAAAAAAAAAAAAAAAAAAAAAAAAAAAAAAAACAAGACCCAGGAAAAAAAAAAAAAAAAAACCGTAAAGATCATATAATCCAAACCCCTGATTTCACAAATGAAAAGGAGGCCCAGGAGACTAGTCTGGACTTTAAGATCCAGACAGGCAAAGTAACTGTCTTTGTTACAAAGCTAGTAAATGTTAGAACTAGAATTCAAATTACCTAATATCCAGTCCAGTACTCTTAGATATCACATAACCTCAAATATAATTGAGGTGTAGCAAAATTACTAATAGCAACTTACAAACTACAGAAATCTCAGCCAATTTCTCAAGTATACAAATATTAATTAGCATCAAGATGATCTTTCCGTAACATTAGTAAGGCAGCAGGAAAAATAAGGTAAGACAATGTACAGCTTTTTAGCCTGAAGATTTTTTAACTTCACACCTAAGATAGTGTTGTGAAAACACTGAACAGGTGAAGAAACAGAAGACTTAGGACAAAAAAAAATACTAACTACCAGAAAAGTATTGTTTAAATTAAAGTATAATGTCTTTAATAGATAATTATCAACAATATTAAAATGTATAGCCCAGACTTGATTTTTAAAAAATATTTTAATCACTACACCATCAAAAGTCAAAGAAAATGTTTCATCATTTTTATAAGCTAGTCTTCAAAAATTATGAGCTCGTTTTACAAGATCAATGAATATAGTAATGTATTAATATTGGTTAAAGAGGAACAGAGGAAGGAGGGGGCGCTGGAGGTGAAGGAGACAGTGCATCTCTGGTTGAAGCAACATTTCTACTGCCTCTTGGTCCCTTTCTGTGATGAATTTGCCAAAGGAGGGGGCTTACTTTCATACTGGAGTTATCTAACATATTCTATCCATTTCCACAGCATGAGCCTGATAACATAGTGATTATAGACAGAATAAGGCATGAAATCCTTTTGAGATTTTAGTCAAGGCAACAAACAGAACTAGAGCTTAGCCCTCAGAACAAAGAAATCATCATGGCCCACAAATTTTACCATCTTAGTCTAACTATAAGGTAACAAAGATGAAATATAGTAGACCCCTGAAAAATAAGCTTATGCACACAATCGTTGAAAAATAGACAAATATCCAATACATACAATTTCATCAAGTTCCAGACCAAATTCAAAACATAGTTCATCAAATTCTTCGTTAGCTAGGAAAATAAAAAAGGAGATGGTTAATTTTACTCTGCTCAGCATAAGTGACAACTACATACAAACTGCATTTTCCTCTTATTATTTCTAATTCCCTTACACCAACCATACCACTAAATACCAGGTATCACATAACATCATTTAAAAACAAAAAGGCCAGGAGCAGTGGCTGACATGCGCGGTGGCTCACGCCTGTAATCCCACCACCTTGGGAGGCCAAGGTGGGTGGAGTTTGAAATCAGCTTGGCCAACACGGTGAAACCCCATCTCTACTAAAAATACAAAATTAGCCAGGCCTGGTGGTACATGCCTGTAATCCCAGCTACTTGGAAGGCTGAGGCAGGAGAATTGCTTGAACCTAGGAGGCGGAGGTTGGAATAAGCTGAGATCATGCCATTGCACTCCAGCCTGGGCGACAAAAGTGAAACTCCGGCCCAGTGAATAAATAAATTAAATAAATAAATAAAAGCTGGGCGATAAAAAAAGAAAAAACTATTAAAGGCTTAATTAATCTACACTAATATCGACTGTAGTTTAGGTTACCTGCACTGGGAAGTTTGCAAGTATATAGAAAAAAAAAAAAAAAAAAAAAAAAAAA